GCCCTACACCTATACATTATCTGCAGACTTTCTATGGTCAGATGGAAAAAGTGCAACAGATTCCTCCATCTACGCTAAACTGTGTGGATGGAATAATCTCACACTGAGCCAAGCTTCAGTATCTTGCTAGTCGGTCCCGATGCCTCTCAAAACACCTGAACAGTGCCAGCATCCAATCAGATTGTTCAGGCGTTATGAGAGCAGGCGAGGTCGACTAGCAAGATACTGAAGCTTGGCCCAGTGGTAGAGTCCTCAATCCACACAGTTTGGCATAGATGGAGGAATCTGTTGCACTTTTTCCATCTGACCATAGAAAATCTGCAGATAATCTATAGGTGTATGGCCAGCTTAAGACTCAATAAGTATTTATGCCAGAAAATAACCAGACAGCAAGCATTTTTAGAATGAGATCAGCCGCTCCTGTACTTCTTTTATGACGGAGGTCACTCCAAGGTATGCACTGGTGTCTAGTTTTCTGCTTTCACATGGCTGATTGGACAGAAAAGGAGCAGCAGAACACTTACAAGGATTTTCTGTGTTCTAACCTTTTCTAAGCACGGTCACATTTTTACAGAGCTGGGTACTCAAAAGCGTTCTTGCAATGGGCTGGAGTGCTTTCTTTAAGAATTTTGAGCCCCCAGCCATGCCAGGAGGCATGGTTATGCCACTCAAGCCTCCCGAAGGCGTAACCGGCTATGGCAAAAGTATGCTCTGGGTTCAGAGGAGCTCATCCCTATCCACAAGTAGGACACCAACACCTCCAATTAAATCGGTAGTGGTATTATACGTGTATTTTGAATGGCTGTCTTTGTTCAGCAACGGTGTCACTTTCAACTATCCCTTGCGGCTACATTTACCAGGATTTCATGGCTCCTCTAGCTGACACTGCACTCTTTACAACTTATGCAAACTGGGAAACATGACATGCTTTCAGGTGCATTCCGCTTGCTAATGAGATCAGTTTCTAAATTGCATCCGAGTTTGTTTACAGGTGCTTCTAAACTGTATCTGACCTCCGACTAAGCTGCATCAAGCTTATTTGGCATTTCCATTGACTTGTATGGGAGGAAAGCCAGTTATGACAAGAACAGATGTCCATGTACACAGGATCTTAGTGACATAACTCTCTGCCAAGACACCTCCCTCATACTCCAATGTGTATGAGTAATGCTGCAGTAAGCTAAGATAAAAGGTGTTTGAAATCAGGAAAAATGACTTTCACAGGGCTAAATGGAACAGGAAATGTTAAACTTCTAGTAGCATTGCTTGAAATGATCTCATAGGACCTAGCCAGCCATGGACAAGGTACCCATGGGAATACCACCCCCCTAGCGCTAAAAATACTGGCTGGTGGACGTGGCTTGCTTATTGTTTGAAAAAAAGGAATGGTCTGGATTTGAAACCCAATGATAAAATATCAACGAAGCTAAACCAACTGATTCTGCAGCACATTATAAAATATATACACATTGATATGCAATACAAATGTATGAATCCTAACTGATATCTAACAAATTAGTAATATTAAACACTTAAATCGGTCTGTTTACCTCAGGAAAGCGTTGTCTATGGTACATAATGTCATTTTTGGTGGCACTAATGAGTGACCAAATCTGGATGCAATAATTTGTCCTTTGTATCAAAATTAAACTTGCTGTGTGAAATTCATGATAGCACAAAGAAGTGATAAAATGTATATGAGCTCAGCCTTCTGCTATTGTATACTCTAGGGTTTTTCCACCCAAAAGTGGAATGTGAGTTTTCAACATCAAAAAAAACCCAGTACTTTAGTTCTTGATGCTGAGCTTTCATTGCCAAAAACAAGTAAAATATAAATCGTCCCCCAAGTTAAACTGTAAAGCACACCCAAACACCTAACTATCCCCTATGTGAACCTGACCTGTAAAACTAGCCATTAACTTTTAAAGTGGAAGTGTCCCCAGATATCAAATAACAACAATTACCTTGTTACGTATTCATTTAAAACCTGCTTGAATGTATACTGTCGCAGTTCTCTGCACATCAAGATTCAAAGAGAAGCACTGTAAAACTGGCCATACACTACCACTATATTCAAGCTGTTGGTGGGATTGCTGGCACCCCTCTATTCCACAACTTGTCAATCGACTCTTGTCAAATTGCTGGCCAAACATTGACTGCAGATAATCAGTTGCAGTCACTGTTTGGCTATTCTGCAGGCTGTCGGAATACTATAGCCGGCAAGAAAGATTGCCGTATCCATGCTGTTTAGCATGGATAGGGGAATTGCATGTTCAGCCCCCTTTGCGAGACTGAGCAAGAAAAAGCCAAGTGGACAGCTTTGGCCAGCCTGACTTAACAATATTGTACAGTTCGCAGGTAAGCTACTTGAAAGGAGAGATGAGTCTAGGTTGACCCCATCATTGCATTACTGGTACTTCACTATCCAGTCACAGGCTGGGAAATAAATTGACCAAGCTGGATTGTTTTAACTGAACTATGAAGAATTGATGTCAGAATCTGGCTGTGTTGTCCGACAGGGATGTAGGAAACACAAATTTGGCTTTGTTGCTTTCATACTTCTGTACTTCACTGAGGATTTAGCTATTTTTGTACCTTTCCACTTTCCATGAACACTCAACCCAACACCTACCCTACTATTTAGCTTGACCCTTATTCTATCACTTAACCTGGTAAACCCTAACTCTAACCATAACCCTTGACCCCAACACGAACCCAACTGAATCACTAGCACTTATTCAAGCCCTTTCTTACTTTTTTGTTTAGCATTAGGACTGGATTAGGCAATTATGAAAGAGAACAATCCCAAGCCAAAAAGTAAAAGCAGTCAAAACAAATGATCCTTGCGAAAGATGCCAGCTCTAGGCATGTTGAAATACTATTGCCTTGCCACATCTCTTGGGGACTCAAAGTGGACGTGCCAAAAGTGGCTGGAAACTAAGCAATAGTTACTGGCTCAGTTCCCTCCGTTCCTTAGTACCACCTGTGGCATGTTCTGGCCACACACCTATAGATATTCGATCGGAAATGTTCCATGCTGCCAGGAACTCTGGTTTGATTCTAGCTCAAATAGCCCATGAAGCACAGACAAACGTCCAAGAGTGTGTGGCCATCTTTAGAGTTTCCAACGCCTTGCTGTTGAAATGTAAACTTGACACTTAAACCTAGGCAGAATGGGACTCCTTTGTAAAATGAGGTGTGCAGAACAAGGGACACAATTTTGCGCACCTCTGGGGCTCCTGACAGATATAGAAAACCCATTAACTTATTAAGGAATCCAACATCTAACAAAACGTGAAACATCAGTTGTGCATTGACTGACCATTTCACATCATAGGTTGTCATTGGTACAAAGAAGAATCTTTAGGGTTTCCCAAACACATAGCATTTTGAAATCTATCCAACCAGCAGGCATAAATTTGCCAAACCAATTTGATGATCGTCATCGACAGGGTTGATGCAAAGCATGACGTATCCAAGACCCATCCAACACTCAGTTGACATTGTTATTAAACAAACAACCACAAGAGAAATTACAGGTGAAACTCGAATAATTAGAATATCGTGCAAAGTTCATTTATTTCACTAATGAAACTTAAAAGGTGAAACTAATATACGAGATAGACTCATTACATGCAAAGCAAGATAGTTCAAGCCGTGATTTGTCATAATTGTGATGATTATAGCTTACAGCTCATGAAAACCCCAAGAACCCCAAATCCACATCCTCAAAAAAGTAGATTATTACATGCAATCAATAAAACAAGGATTGTACATAGAACAATATCGGACCTCTGAAAAGTACAAGCATGCATATGTACTCAGTACTTGGTTTGGGCCCCTTTTGCAGCACTTACTGCAATTACTTTTGCACGATATTCTAATTATTCGAGTTTCACCTGTATGCTTCTAACGGAGACCTGTCATGAGGGAATCATGGGAGCTGCCTTCTGAAAAATCCAGTTGCCTGGCTGTCTTGCTGATACATTTGCTTTAATGCTTCCTGAGCTACTGACCCAGAACAAATTTAAAGTTAAAGAATTCTGATACTTCACTACTCATTTTCAGCACACTTGTTCCAGGTCTATGACTCAACAAAGTCATTTTTTCCTTGTATTTCTTGCTTGACACAAATCAAAGTCTATCTGCTGTGTAGGTAAATCAAGACAGAACAAATCTAAAGGAAATAAATATTCCAGCCATGAAATTCAATTACGGTAAATTGTACAGGTCAAATGCACATTCTGGGATGGGGAATACCTATGAACGGCTGTTACAATAGGAGCAATAGAAATGAGGTCGTGGTGCTTAAGAACCCGAAAAGCATTAGAAGTCTTACAATTAATGTTTATTTAAAGTGACACTACACTCAGGAGTTCAATCTTAAAATGCATTCAAGTACCTCAACTATTCACACAAATGTATCTTATTTGGGTATCACTCGGCTGTAGATCCTCAAATCATTTCTGAATTGGCGCTGACACTGTCCTTCCTTCTGGAGGGGTCTACTTTTCTTCCCTATGGTCCCTGTGTGTTGTAAAGTACTCTCATGTTGTATTGAGACTAAATTGTATTGAGATTGTAGCCCATCACAGGAGTGAGCTTGGTGCGGTGACTACTTTACAACACACAAAGGGATCGTGGGGAACAAAAGTAGCCACCCTCCAGAAGGAAGGACAGTGTCGGCACCAATTCAGAGATGATTTGAGAATCTACAGCCGAGTCATACACAAATAAGATACATTTTTGTTAATAGTTAAGGCACTTTAATGCATCTTTAAGATTTAACTCCTGAGTTTACTGTCACTTCAATAAGGCTAAACATGTCTAAACTTACAATGGGTGCATTTTTTTGCAGTTCAGTGAATGCACACGCTCCTCTCGTTTAACCTTTCTGCTGGCTACTACATTGTACCAACTGGCTTCTGGATTTCCCATTGATGTATACGACCCTGCAGTAACTCAAATAAAATGTTCATAATATATATGGTTTTTCTTACCTCCAACATAACAGATTCTGCAGCTTTCCCTTCATTGGAAACACTGGGCTCTATTATCTTCCAAAGTTAAGAACATATAATAAAAAAGCCGTCTTTCTTGGCGTATTATTTGAGGGCGCCACCTTCTTATTAACAGCCTCAGTTAACTGGCCTATTTATATTCCTGCAGACTTCTCCCACTAACAGCAACAGATCTGCTGGCAAGTGCTAATCCTTCTCACTGAGTGCTCAGGTTATTAAGAGGCTTTATAATGCCTGCTATGCAGCCATCAACTTTTCTCATGAGCAGAATTCAGTCATGCAAAGTTGATGAGCGTTATCGGTGTTAAAGGGACCTACATACCAATACGGTATAAAATGTCTGAATAAAATAGTAGGATGTTTTAACTGTTAAAGCAACTGAATTAAAATAAAGGAACAAAGCAGGAGTCTCTAGCAGGAGTCTCTTAGCAGTACAATAGAACATTCATGACAGCCATTAATCAGATAACTAAAGGCATTCACATGCAGTAGAAATTGACAAAATAACCTTATTGGTTGGTATTGGTTCCACCCTTCCTGAGCCGTGCTTAGTGAGGAGCCTGAGCTTAGTGCAAACCCAGTTTACCCAAGCTTACACAAAACTAAGACTACCACCTCCTCCTCCTGGCCCAATGAGTTGCAGAGATGCACATTTTCCACCCTGAAGCTATATGTTAAGGGGTGGGGAAGGACCCTGGTGCAATTAATTGGGAACATTATTGATCAAAGGGAGCCGGACACTAGGTTTTTACTGTAAGGGCAGCAGGCAGTGCAGAAAGCATCAAAAAGGAGGGTATGGACCTATTGGAGAAGGGGAAAGGGGGAGGTGCTTGGGTATGTTTTTTCAAAAAGGCTTGGGCTTATTGAAAAAAAGGTGATCTTGTACTTTCAAATTTCCTGCTCCAAAGTAACTGGCAGCCGTGTCTTGATTTACCTCCTCAAATGTTTGCTACATTCCCACAGTCTTCTAGGAGCGTGAATCATACCGTATGCATGTCTCCGATTTTGGGTCATTTTAAAAGAACAACACCGATGCTGCAGATGGGAGTTCAAGAGCAGTGGACCTTAAGCAAGACTAGTTTTTGGGCCCCTCTTGACTACTGGCTAAGTAAAAACATTTATTTAGAGGCCATCAAGTGGCAGCTAGATAAAAGAGATCTGTGTCCCGATCTATGTGACAAAATGAGGGGTCCGATCACCCACATCATGTATAAATGTGCTCATAAGTCCAAAAAGGTCTCTGGTGCATATGAACAAATGGTATGGTCGCGAAAAATCAGGAGCACATAGGTAAGGATAATTACAACTCTTAACCTACTTCCACCTTTTCCACAGAACTACTTCTGCAAGTACCCAGATATTAACTGCCCACAGCAAATCTACATCATGGAAAAACACTTACCAATAACAATATACACATTTCACAACTTTTTTCTGGTTGTACAATTGCTAGTGTGCATTGAAGACAACCAGTCGTGATGCAGCTTTAGATTATTATCAATGGCCACAAGCCTCGGCTCCAGGTCATGTGATCACTGATTACTGTAACTGCCAGTTAAAGTGGACTGCGAGTAAAGATTGTAAAGATTTTGCTGTACTCAACCCCGCGCTTCCTCCTGTCTAATCAGATTTATGTGAGAATAGAGATGATCATTTATCTTGTATCAGGGAAGAAAGATAAGCTGCATGACTTGTTATGTAACACTTATGGGGGGGACAAACAAGTGTATGTTCTTAGATCTTTTGCCATAACTGAAAAGCTTGTGTAAGAACGTAGAACAAACAAAGAAAAATATGCACAAAAAAGAAAAGCATGCATACGCATACAGAAGCCAATGTCCCTGGAGCTAAAAAATGTTCTTGTTATTGAATAGGGGGGCTCAACCTACCGTAGACATACAGCAGTTCATGTTTAGTTCAGATGGAAGCTGCTGCATGCCTTAGTTTTAACAGAAAATGTAAAGAACAAATCCAGTAAACAATGTTATTAACCTTTGCAGTTGGGCTACCCCTGCGCTGCAAGCATTAAGTGATCATTTCTGACTAGAGTAAAAAATAACACCTGGACCTCCGAGGCGGCCAGCTGTGACAGCGCCCCCTCCAGCCTGTCGACTCCTCCTCCACTACAGCGATGGTTTGCCTCTCGGCACCCTCACGTCCTATACACTGTATTGGACGTGATGACTCAAGGATCATTAGACCTCTGTAGCAGAGAGAGAGGCTCCAGGGACTGGTCTAAGAGCTGGCCTTCTCGGAGGATCGGGTGAGTATAACGGTTTTTGTGTTTTTTTTACCCTAGGTAAAAACAAGCAGTTAACCCTTGCAGTGTTAATTTTTATCCAGGGTTCTAAATGTTTCCCACTCTTACTTTAACTCCTGCCAAAAAACATTATTTTATTTTTTTTTTAAATGTATGAATACACTTGGGAAGCAGTAATACCTCTGCCAGGTTTTTCTTGTTGTCTGTAACCCTCACTGGGGAGATTTCCCTCCTCCTGTCCCTGTGTCAGCAGGATAAGAAATATGGGGAGCAGTTGTCACACAACAATACTAGTAAAGGTTGTCACCCTTCCCCATTTTAAAGGCAAAGTCCAACTTTTAGAAACAAATAAAATAAATGAGCACTTGTTTATAAAAGAAAAAAATGTACATTGCCATTTATTATTTTTTTGCCATTGACGCCAATAAATCATTGTAATGGCAATCAGTGGATTGTGGGGGCAATGCTCTGGTTCCTGCAGACTCTTCCGCCCATCCATTCCTTACCACAGTAAAGACATTCAGTAACGTGAACAGGAGAAAGCATGGATGGACTACAAGTGCAGTGACGTCACTGCGCTTGTGTGCCATTGAGACCTTCAGGTCCCTCTGCTGCGGTGGCTGATGGGACACATAGTTTCTCCATTCACAGATACTGTCAAAGGATCTGTGAATGGATGATGCAGCTGTGCGGAACCATGCACAGTAGAGCTGGGGGGAAAAAAAACCACAAAAGAAAACACCGACCTACAGGGGGAAGAACCCTGATTCAATTAAGGGGGGAGGGGGAGTCAGAGGGTTGCAGGGTGTTGAGGGTCCCTGAATATGGTTATACACAAAACATGGTCCGAAAGGTAAACGGTAAACAACCTTTAGGTTCACACCATTTTCCAGACCCGATCTGGAACGCAGTGCATTGCATTTTGCAGCGATTTTGCTGCGTTTGGAAATTTTATTTTTTTAGCTTAAAATGGTCCTACATGTGTGTTCCAGTGCATCTGGGTGTCTTTATGATGCATTTCTACGCGTTCCAGTGCATTCCAGACCAGATAAAAATAAGACAAGCAGTATTTTTCTGGTATGGAAGAGAATGCGCGTGTGTGAACAGAGGCCTGAAATAGCGTAGGGATTCATTAGGATGCATTTTGGGTCCAGAAACAATCTGGTTTGGTCTGGAGATGATCCAGACATGGTGTGAATGGGGACTAAAGGAAGGACAAAAAAAAACCACACAACAACTTTTGTTGTCTGTGTCCCCGGTAAAAAATAGTTTCCATCGCTTCCTGTTCCAACAGACAAACCAGTGTGCATATACCTTAGGCACACAGATTGCTTAAAAAACATTAAAATTTAATTTTATCATTTAATTAAATGTTTCTAATGTCAGAGAATAAAAAACAAATGTCACTGAATATAAACTGAAGAATGACAATAAGCTACACAATCATTTATAAGGATGACACAAAATTAAAATACACAAATAAACAATAAAAACACTTTTACTGGATAGTGTATTTATACAGATCTGTGCCGCCTACCTAGAGATAGCAAAAAATGAATAGTATTGCAGTATTTACAATTGGTGCATTTAAACACAGAACTAATTCCAGAAGAAGTCATATACTGAGTATTATGTTATGTCAATCATAAAGCCTAAGCATGAGGATTTATAGCATAATTGCAGTTTCTAAACTAACTTGCACTGCAGCCGCTCACATTATTTAAGTGAGGCCCAGCGTGCACTGTGCAATCCATGGTCTTTGCTGTGTTTCTGGCTTTTAAACATAAATACGCAACTGAGTTAAGAAGTTTGACCTACCCTCTAAAGCACAGGCAAATACTCATTTTCAGGCACACTTTTGCAAGCCCCATCCAGCTCTTCTCCCCTTCCTGTTTCCTCCCTGCTGCTCAGGTGTAGTCACGTGACCTCCAGGATCACATGATTAAACCTCTAGAATTAGCATTTGTTTTTCCAGCACTGCTACTTTTCTGCTGGCACAACATCACAACATGGGGAGAAATATTGGCGGGTGTATAGGGAGATATTTGCCAGGCTGATTATGATAAGTGAGTTGTAACAAATATTTTTTGGCAATTGTAATGCTGTTTATGAATACAGTTATGTAGAAAAAAATACAGATCTAAGTAAAGATAATTCAATCTAAATTTGGAATATCATGACATGCATTGTATGTCAGTTTTACAAACCACTGACTGTTTTCAGGGGTAAAAAATCCAGGGACAAAAGCTTATAAACCAAGGGCTTGTCCTTGGAAATGAAGGATAGCTTACATCTATATAGTCTATAATGGCTGACTGGTTAGCATTGTCGTCTTGCACTACCGGGGCTCTGGGTTTAGTTCCCATAAGGCCACCGCCATGTTTATTCCAGCATTGGTTCTTATTGTTGAATGCACTGACCCATCATGACTAGTGATGAGGCTAGGCTTGGTGTAAACCCAGTTTGTCCAAGCCTGCTTAAAAACTCTAACCACCACCCCCTCCTCCCAACCAAATCACTTGCAGGGGGGCACATTCCGCACCCCGTGGCTACACTTCACAAAGGACTGGAGAATGCCCTCCCTCCGCTGCAACCACTGACTGGGAGGAGGGGATGATGGTCCTAGTTCTGAGCAGGCTAAGGCAAACTACACCAAGCCCAGCCACATCACTAGTCACTGCCAACTGCTATTCATTTTGCTGAAGTCAGATGAGTACAAGATGGAGTCTGGCTGGTTGCAAGTGCTTACTGACATCTGGTGTCTTGTGTGTTTGTTTGCATTTTGCTCTGAAGTCCTCTGTCTGCTGGCAACAGCTGCACAGTAGAGCCCCATTGACTTCTCTGGGGCTCATTTACCTTTGTCTCCAGGTTGGGAGGCACATGGGGGAAACCCCCATAGCCTTCTATGAGGCTCACCTATGCAGACA